TAGAAAAATGATTTAAATGCAGAAATGTTATGCAGGATATTTTTCTATCTGTTCTTTATACTGGAAAATATTTTGCATTATTCGGTAATTTGCAAGGTTTCAATTAAGCATCCCTTTCCTCTCTTCAATGAAATCAACTTCCATTCAAGAACTTCTGCACATCAACCCTGCAGGTATACAATATCTGCTGCTTACGCATCCTTTCTCGACAAAGATCTCGGATCTCTGTCCCCAGGAAAGCTTGCAGATTTCGTCATACTATCTACAGATTCATGGGACGACTTCGAAGCTCAAGGATCTGCTTCTATTGAGGCAACATATACTGGTGGTAAACAGGCCTATCCTTGAAGGTGCGTGCTTATTCGCCAAAAGATGCATAGTTATAAGTCATCACTTGGAATCCAACTCACTTTAGCAGTAATAAGATGAATTTTGTGCATACATTATCAAAAGTTTAAATTAATCTCGAATAATTTATTCCACAAATCACTGTTATCTGGTCAATAATGCATTTGAACACTCTCATAGAAAGCATGTGTCTATGCACATAATAGTAATGATGATCAAGGTTCAATGTATGTTATTATGACATTCACAATTAGTGTTATTTTCACGTTTCCAGCAGTAGCTTAGCTTGGTTTTCAACTATTCTAGTCAAGGTACAACCTCTGATGAGTGATGCCGCTTAATGAATGTCATTTTCATTGCATTTTTTAATGTCTCTGTGTTCTTTGCTAATTTCTGAACAAGATATGAACTTTTCATTAATAAATGAAAAGAAAAAAAAAATTGTTCAATGATACAAACTCCGAAAGGAGTGAAAGGGGAAAAGAAAAGGAAAAAACATGAAAAAATACAAAAGAACCGAAAACTAACGGGGAGTTATGAAAGCCTCCCAGTTCATACAAATCATAGGTGAATGACTATCCAGGAGATCGGAAAGAGGATATTTCTTAGGCTCTAGCTGAAATTTTGTCAAGAACTTCTTCATTTGTTTGTCTGAAAATTTCTATGTGGCTGCAGTATCAATATAGAGGATTGCCTTTTGCTTTAACTGTTTAGGTTTCTGATTTAGGGAGTAGATAATATGATTTGCCTGTCTTCTTTTGCTTAGGTTCAACTTGCCATTAATATGGGCCAAAAGTTTAAGAGAAAATGGAAGGTCTTTTTTATTCTCAATTCCTTAAATAGCAAAAGTGATAATTTGATGGTGAAAATTTTTCATTTAATAAACTGTTAAAAGGTATAGATTGTAGGTGGAACTTTTTCCCCTGATAAGTTTTAGGTTGAATTATGGATTCAATCTCATCCTCATCCATTTTTCATTTTCTTAAAGTTTCTGAAATTTTGATTTTCATCTCATAAGTTTTTCCACTTTTTATTTTAGTTCTTACAATTTTTAAAATACTAATTTTAGTCCTTCCCGGTTGATTGAGTTTTTATCACAAAAACTAATGAAAGAAATAGGATGGACTCTTCATGTTGAAATGACTACTTATAAGGTACGGACTAATTTTAACCATCACAGGATGGTTCAGTGGTCAAAAAGGGCCATTATTGTAAATAGCAAATGACTTAGAGAGAGTGAGTTCAAACCATGTTGGCTACCTACTTAGGATTTAATATCCTACGAGTTACGTTGTCAATTAATTATGGTAAAAAAAGGTAGGGACTAATTTTGAATTGTGAAGTCGAGTCCGAGTCTTGAGGCGGGCATGAGTGCCCTTGGGTATAGGAGAACAAAACTTCGACTTCACTTATCCAAAATATTTACATATAGAAATTGGGCAAAATATTAATAGAACAAGATTGAATTTTAGGAATTTCAAAGTCTAAAAGGGGAAAAGTAGGTTAGAGTGTAGGGATGAAAATGATGCTACTTAAAGATTTTTTCTTGTTTTTTCCATTTACTTTTTAATATAATTGAAGAACATATATATATATATATATATATATATAATAAAAATATATATAGTTAACTTCGTGTACAAACAATTATTCTATACTTTATTCTTATTTTTTTTTCTGAAAACTACTTTACAAAATACATTTTTTGTTTTTTGAAAATATATTACAGTTTTCAAATATAGTTTCAAAGCAGTCAAAAGTTGTGTGTTTTAACTTGATCACTTCTTTCCCAAAATATTATTTAGATTTATTTGGCACCCATCAAATCAGAGAAAAGATGATTTGAAATGAACTTTACTGTCGTTTTCCATCCCCAATTTCGTTGTTCAAATAAAAATAAAAACAATAAACAAACAAAAGAGTTCTATTCATAATATAAACTTAATTTCTTTATGTTATTTAATAAAATTGAGTTAGCATCAAACGGTTATTACTCACTAAATTTTGGGAAGTATTGTTTTGGAATAGTCCCCAAAAAAGGAAGGAAAAAAAAGAAGGAAAACTTGTTAGTCCATTCTCCAAAGTAACATAGATCTTAGAACAACAATTATTTTTTCCTTCATAGAATACAAAAAAGATGGAGTATGGAAGTTTAAATCTCCGACCTGATCACGTATTTTGGAATATGTCGTTCCGTCATGTACATGTCTTCGGTCTTTCATTTTGATGTTCCTGCTCGTGCCCGGAGAGAGAATGGGCACGACTCCCCCTCTCCCCGTTCTACCGTCCAAAGCATGCCGGCCGTTGGCAAGAGTAGGTTTCATTTACTGATGGGTTATGCTCATTATGATGTTCATCAGTTGGTCGTTGTCGGTTTGATCACCGACCATTCAGTTTCTGTCTGTCAAAATCATTTTTTTACTGTTTTGGACAAACCAACCGTCCGTCCGTGAATTCGTAGGTTGTTTTGCCCCTTTGATTGGCACATCTCTCAAACTGACCGACCAGCTTCGATTCAATCAGTTTCGACCAGTCAACTCGATCTTTCGTCTCTCATTGTGCTCTTTCTAATTTCTTCTCTAACTACTTCTCCTAGTATGATTTGCTCTAATTGGGAGGCCTTGTCTATATGGTTTAGTTCTTGTATGCAATTTGGTGATTTGCTTATACCTCTTTATCTTATTTTTGTACTTTTCTTATATTTTATTTTTGTATCAATGAAAATTTTGTTTCTTGTTAAAAACAAAGAGAAAAAATTTTAGAACTAAAATGTTCAAAACTTTTTTATAGGGACATAAAGGTCAAAGGGTCGTCTAACTCCTGCATAATAAAAAAAAAATAAATAAATAAATAAAACTTTATTGTTATTGATGTTGTTGGGGTGGAGGCCTACAATTTGTAGAGCCATGGTATGAAGTACTGGTTTAGGTGAAGATAGGAACAAGAAAGAAAGAATAATGGTGGTGGGAAGAAGACCTAAAAAAGAGTGTAGGATGAGAAGAATAAGTGGTTAGTGTTAGTACATAGCCCTACTATACAATTAGGGTTAGGTTTAGGGTTAGGGTTAGGATTTTTGTGTGGAAAAAAATGGTTCCTTTGGACTTTAGACTTTACCCTTACCCTTAGCTTTACTCTATCTCTACCTAGTTCTACTTCTTTTCTTGCATCTATTTCCTTTTCTCCATATATAGACTATGTTGTTGTTTTCTCGTCGTTTTCTACCTATCGATTTAAATCCCTTGACGTAAATGTTGGAGAGAGAAGAGTTCATGGATAAGATAATGTGAGAGAGAAATCTTTCTTTTTGTGCATCGATATGTTCGTACGTGTGGATGTTTTTGTTGCCGCTTCAAGAATTCAGGACTCGTTTGATGACCATTTTGATTATGATTTTATGATATTTTAAAAATTAATCTTGTAAACACTACTCTTACCTGTTTTTCTTTGCTTTGTTATCTACTTTTTAGAAACTACTCAAAATCTAAATAATAATATAAGTTCGAATCTCCACCCCAAGTTGTTGAATTCAAAAAGAAAAAAAATAAAATGATTATTTAAAAACATACCTGTACAAATTAGTTGATGTGCGTCCAACGGACTCGAACATTCACGGATATAAAAAAAAATTAACCATTTGAATTTGAATTTCAATATAATGTTCCTTGGTTAAATCCGAAATTATATTCAATATTTATCCACGAAAAAAATCATTCAGAAGTTTGAAGGAGTGGCACTTAAACCACTTCCTTCTCAAGATTGATAAGTAAAATATGAATTTATGATTGAATAAATTATTTAATTTTGTTAAAAAGAACTTTTAATATCTTCAAAAATAATTCAATGGGAATTACTTTGCCTTCAATTAATCATTATTTACATAAATACATTTTATATTAAAATCAATTTCAAGCCAACATTATTACTTTTTTACCCTAAAATTTCTGTTTGCAATAAATGCTACTGCACCCGTCTCCACCGGCGGATACGGTGGGGGCCCTCAAACTCAATTTCATTCTTTTTCTTCAAAGGAAAAAAGTTTATTAAAATAAAAAAATTGTAAATTAAAATGTAGGTAATTTAAACCTTATGGTTAAAAATATTTAATGTAAAGACAAGTATTCCTCTGACAAACTTTATATGAAATTTTTGGAAACATAAACAAAAAAAAATATATGAAAATTGGTTTTTTTTTTTTTGAATTATAAATTTGATTTCTTAGGAGCTTTCACGTTTAACATGTCTCAACTTTTTATTTATTAAATTTCAGCAATGCGTTGCCAAAAGCTTATATGCTTAACGACATATTTTTCTAGCATCCTTAATTCACCATTTTCTTGTAATAAAAAACTTCTTGATTTTGCTGTAAAAAAATAATAATTAATAAAATAAAAAAGATCTTTGGTTTTATCGTAAAAATATGTTAATATTGTATGGTGTGTACGATTATATATGGAGAAGTTTTGTTAACTACTATCGCATATAAATCTAAGTGATGTCTAATCCATGCAGTAGATACGATCTTTATTTATTAATTTAGCTTTTTATAATTTCCTATAATTTAATGAAATCTAGTAGAGTAATTTCAATGTTTCCATAAAAAACTAATGAAATCTACAGGTACGATACTTAAAAACCATCTTTTTTTCCACTTAAAATCTTATAATATACGTCATGAAAAGAAAACTATATTTCATACCAACATCAATTTCAAATATTCAAATTACACCTATTATCAAAAGATTAGATGCAAATACTATACTATAAAATATCTTCTATGCTAGTGTGATGGAACACAAGGACATCTTCATAAAATTTATTTTCTTGTCTCTATTAAAAAAAATAATTGGAGGTGTCGTTTTCTCATTTGCTTGTGAAGATAATTACTACTTTTTTTTAAGTTCAAATCTAAACCCTAATTTTAGTATCAATAATTTAGAGTTATTTAAGTTCTTAATTATTAGTTTTAATGCTTAGACAAATTTAACAATGAATTTTCATCTCTATATTAATTTAATTTAGGTTAAAGTTGATTTTTAAAGGTTATCCCATTTTTAATTTGGGTTTTTGAAGTTTAAAAGTTTTATTCGAATCTCTTGAGTTTTTAGAAAGTTTTAGACTTTGATATTAGTAGATAATGTCGTTTTTTTAAGTAAATTTTTTACTTAGATTTTAATTGTAAGAATTGAACTTGGAAGAAAATTTGAGGGAACTTTAAAACCTTTTTTTTTTTTAGTATTTAGAGATCAAATTAGAAATATAAGTAAATTTTAGGGACAAAAACTATATTTAAACTATATCACTCTTTCTTTTTAAGATATAAAAATATGGGTCACCCTTTAGGGTAAAAAATTTATCGAAAGTTCAAATCTTTCTTAAACAAAAACTTTGAACTTTCTCGCCACCTCTCTCTAAAATTTTTCGGATTCTTATATATTTACACCTTCCATTAGTAATTACTTTTTTATTTTTTTTTTCAAAATATGTGGCATTAGCTTAGGCTTAATTAAAATATTTAAGTAAAGAATCAATATTTTAACGAGTCTAAAAGTTATGAATTTTAGGCAATATATTCCTAAGATTTAAATTATGACACTTTTTATACACTTCTATCATGATAAAATAAGAGAAAAAAGAAGGTTATTCTTGAAATGGCAAATTAATTTTAAACATTTCCATATGCCCATGTATAAATTTGAAGCCTTTATATTTTCAAATTGGATTGACAAAGCTTTGTGACTTTAGAAAAATGAAAATACGTCACCAATTGATCATTATATTCTAGGTTATCCAAAAATATATATATTAAAAAATTCTTAGTGTTTTGAATATGTAATGCAAAATTAACATCTCATATATTCATCGTAAAATTCATAAAAGTATAGAAGTATAAACATATTATATATAGTTCAGTGGTAATTGGCATATATCTTCAATCAAGAGATTGTAAGTTCGATCCCCTACCACCACATGTTGTACTAAAAAAACATATTATAAGACTGCTATTTGTCCAAATTATTGGTTTAAATATACTTTTAGTCTTATACTTTTCTTGAACTTTAGTTGATAACTATTTATTCCTTATACTTTTAAATTAGTAACAATTTAATCACTAGACTTCAATATGTAACTATATTGAGTCTAAACTTTGTAACGATTTAGTCTCAATCATGAAAAATATATATTGTTAAAATTTAATAGGGTTTCTTATATATGTATAGAGCAGTAAATTGAGGAGGGATCGAATATGTTTATAAATTACAAAGACTAAATCGTTATATTAATAAAAAAAATTGACACCTATATTTGATGATAATAATTTAAAACTATAAGGACTAAATCTTCACAAAAGAATAAATCGCTGCTTCAACAAAGTACGAGGACCAAAAATGTCTTTTAACTAATTTTTAACTCATATTTAATCTACAATACCGAAACAAAAAGTTCACCTACTTTAAGAATTAATTTTTTATGTGTTTTCCAACACCAAATCTTGTAAGATCAGTTGAGTTACCCATAAGCTTGGCTCATCCAGATATAGAAAATAAAAAAAATTAACCCACTTGTAAATTTGAATTCTTTAAAATGAAATTATTATGGAGTAATTATTAGGTAATAGAAGTAGTGGGCATTCCCCCACAAGTGACCCATAAAAAGCAAAAAAGAGATGCACATAAGCCTCACCTCAAGGGGTTGAATTGGAAAAAGGTGAAAAAGTAAAAAAGGTAAAGATGGGGTTAAAAAAGTAATAAGAAAGAGAGAATAAATGTATAGTTACTCACATCCTTGGGGGAATAGGGTATAGGGCCCTATGTTTGGAGGGTAGAATGGTCCATTCCCTATGACTTATAGGTTTCTCTTTGGATAAAAAAAAAAAAGAGAGAGCATTTGTGTGAATCTAGGTTTGCCCATAATACACTATGGAATAATAACTCATTTTTTATTTATTTCTTTGTTTTCTAAAATTTTGTATAACTAGATATATGACATGTGTCATTTTTTTAATTTATAGATTATCCCTAACTAATCTAGTAATTTAGGCATTATGTTGATAGTTATTTTATTTTCAATTTAATTATATCCAATTGACTTTGTAGAGAGGGAAGAGAATTTTTAATTTACGATCCAAACATCGATATGTGATTAATTGAACTATATTCAGATTAGCATTATTGAATTAGTATAGAATCTTATAAGTCAATAAAAAAATTATTAAATTAAACAATTTAATTAATTTTAGATCAAATATATGTTTTAGTTTCAAACGTCGAGTGTTTTTTAATTAGCCTTATTTTTTCTTTTAGATTTATGTCAATTTCCTTTTTAATATCACACTAGGTATGTTTATTGACTAAAAAAAATTTGTGTAATTGAAAAATACTAAAATATAAGAAAATAATTTTTTTTTAAACATAAGAAAATAAATTGAAACTTTTTTTCAACACAAATAAATTGAAATTTTTTAAACAATATGAATTAAAGAGTATGGATACCTAAATATTACCGAAACATATATTTAGCTTAAATTTTATATGGAGAAAAAAACAACAAATGTCCAAACAAAATATAGAAATACAGTATGGTATTGTATAAAATAATGTAATTATAGAAGAAATATGAGTAATTTTGAAGACCAAAAAATTAAATTAAATTAAAATATGACTGTTTGTTTTTCCCTCAAATGTCATTTCATAACTCTCTTTAACCATTTGAAATTTTTCTATTTTACATTGAAATTCACATAAAGGTAATATATTAGCATTTTTGGGTCCCATTCTTACTTTAGGGACAGACGTTTAAAAAATAATTTATTTATTTACTTATATTAATTTTATCTATATTTTTTTTAAATAAAGATAAAGCATCGGGCCAATGAATATTCTTATATTAATTTTATCTATATATCTTTTTTAAATAAAGATAAAGCATCGGGCCATTTCATATTTCTTATTTTTTATTTTTCTTTATTGTTTGTCATTTCCTCCTTTTCAATTAAGATAATCGAAATACTTTGGTAACTGTTTCAGTTTCTTGTTTTTTTTATTCTTTATTGTTTTCTAAAAATCTTAGATTAAAAAAATGTTAAAGTTTTACCTGAAGTTTTAAATTAAATATTCAAATTTGATATTTTTATGCATTTAAAAAATAAAATGATAAAATAATATTTTTATCTAAATTTGAAAAAAAAAAACAAAGAAACATGAATAGAAAAAACAAAAAAAGATTATTTTTCTTGTTCACAAAATTTCTCTATAATTTTGTAAACGTTACTAAAAAAAATAAAAAATGAGAAACAGAAATAGTTACCTAATGCTTATGTTTCTAAAACTTAAAACGAGCAATGAGAAACAAAATAATATTAACGTTACCAAACCGGGGATTGACATGTTAATCTTATTTGAGAGTAGTTACAACCAAAAAAAAAAGTTTAATTTACTGTGTAGGAATATTAATATTCGTTGATAATACATTAACTTAATTAATTTATATCATTTTTCTTTATGGGTCTATATTATAGTTTGAAATTGAGATTCTCCCTACTTACCTAGCTTAAACCAACTCTTCTTCTAAACTTATATCCTTATTCTTTTTAATGAATTAAAACGTGCTAATGTTTATAAGTAATAATAAAAATCTTGATATATTGATATATACATTATACAATTCAATTAATATCTAATAAAAAATATTTTATATCATCCTTAATTCAATAAAATATATAAGAATTTAAAAGTCTATTTAACAACTATTTTATTTGTAATTTTCTAATTAAAGAAATTAAATTTATGCATTAACATTTTGAAAACTCAAAAAAGAAGTGTGAAAATAATAAAAAGCCAAAATATCGCCAAATTGTTGTTAAAAAAAACACTATTTTTCACCATTTTAGATGGAAAAAAATAAAGAAAGAAAAGGAAAACATTATTTTGGTAATAATATTGTATAGTAGTAGGTTTCAATTAGATCGAATCTTTTGTGGATTAATAATTTAAAATAAAAAATAGGATGATGACATTTGATATAAGTGGTAGGCAAAATGAACCACACTTGTATTATTATATTGTTCAAAATTTACCATCCAACTTTAGAAGGGGAAAAAAAACCTCTTGATTTGATTGGACTTCCCTCTAAATAATAGTTAATAATTAGTTTAAATCATTTGTGGTTTTTATATTTTCACATTCATATAATCTTAAAACGTCTATTTTATTTTTTTAATTAGGAAGAATTAATTATATTTGTTCATTTATTTTCTTTTTAAAAATATTTTTCTATGGACAAAAATGATAAAAGTACAAAAATCAAAATGAAAAATATAGGGACCAAAGTTTATAAAGGGAAAGCACGAAAATCAAATGTAAAAGTTAAAATACTATTTTCGTCCCTTATACTTCTCGAAAGGTCTATTTTGGTTATTCTATTTCCAATTTTTATCCCATCTTTATCCTTCACAATTTCAACACGACACCATAAACAATGTATTTCTTCAAATATAGTCATAATTTTATATCCAAGAGTATCCATTGTGCATAAAATTTGTATCAAAATTTTACAAACATCGATCAAAATAATCACTTTTTAGAAGTACTGAGCCTAAATCAAAGAATCAAAATAAACGAAAGTTAAAATATAACTAAAACAAACATTTAAAAAATACAGAAACTAAAATAAATGAACCAAAATCGAAATTACAAAGCAACTAAAATAGTTTTCTTTTTTTAATGAAGGAAACACCGCATTAAAAAGAAACAAAACCACTGAGCATTACGTCAAAATTACTCATGAAGGGTGAAATTATATCGAAGAATAAAGAATTAAATAGTATTTTAACACATAAGTAAGTTGATAGATTTAAATAAAAATGTATTAGCTATTCTGTAAGAAGGTGAAGAAAAAAATTGTAGAGTTGGGGAATAGGGGCATAGGCATTATTTATTGTTATTCCCTTCCTCTCAAGGTAAAACAACTTTGCCACTGCAGATGTTGAAGAATCATTCATTCCTTTCCAGTTTCCATTTTCACTCTCTCTCTCTCTTCTGTTACTGTTCACAATTCTGAATTCTGAATTCTGAATTCTGAAATGAGAGAACAACAACAGCAGCGGCAACAACAATTCCACTCCAAATCAACCCATCAATTGCTTTTACTCTTCCATAACTCCAGATTTCATCATTTCATTACTGTTTCTTCTTTCCTTTCTTAATCCCAAATCAGAAATTCAAACCCAGATCAGATCATCATCATCTTCTTCTTCCTCTTTCCACAGATTTTGTATTGTATGAACAGGACAATGTTGGGTCTCCGAGATGTTCTCTTTATAGCTCCCACGCCTTCTTCTCTCCATCAACAGACAACCCAAATCATTTCCTCCGATCACCACCCATCTCTTCCTCTCCCTTCCTCCGCCGCTCTCGGCGTCAGCGTCGGCATTTTCCCCCTTCTCGCTGCAACCCCATGTCTCCCTCAGCCGCCGCCGCCGCCGCCCCCGGCCGCCGAAGTTAGCGAGCGCAGGGGTGTGGACAATCTGAAGAGAACCCAGGATTTCGGATTCGGGAAAGGGGATTCGTTGATCGCCGGCGGGAATAATGCCCTCGACGAGCCGGTGAGAGGCGACGCCGGCGATTCCTCCATGGGCGTGTGTAGGGACTGCGGAAACAGAGCCAAAAAGGAGTGCGATTATCGGAGGTGCAGGACGTGTTGTAAAGGGCGTGGGAATCATTGCTCCACGCACGTCAAGAGCACGTGGGTGTCGGCGGCTCGCCGCCGTGAGCGGCAGATGTTGGTTGTGATGGACGGCGTCGCCACCGCTAGTGGCGACGGTGGGTCTTCTGGGTCTTCTTCCGCTGGCGCTAAAAGGCCTAGAGTTCTGATTCCATCACAGAGTACTGCCGCCGCCGCCGCCGCCTCCGCCTCTCACGCCTCCACCTCCAATGCCACCACTCCCCGGAGCTTCGAAACAAGTTCTAACCATCAAGGTAAATTTCTCTCCCTCTCTCTAATTGCTCCATTTTCATTTTCTTGTAATTCTTATCAAATTCAGAATCATCAGCAGCAACAATGAAGTGTTTGCTGACTCTCTCTCTCCAAATTTGGTTGTTTGTTTCTTAGTTCCAACATGATATTATTCATGTTTCAAAAAAAAAATGATATTATTCATGTTCTAATTTGCATTTGGATTCATAGCAAAACAATATGACTCTGTGAATGGTTTTTTATTTCAGTTCTGTGTTTTAAGATATTGAAACTTTACATATTTTGCTGAAGCAGCTGAACATGTTCATGTTTCTCTCTGTTTTCTCCTCTTCTTTTGCTCCTCTCTCCAACAAACAAAGGAAAAGATCTTTTATTAGAGAGAGAGGGAGAGGGGAGTGAGGAAATGTGTTGAATTTTATTGCTTCCATGGCTAAACAAACATATGCATATATCTTGGAATTTTGCAAAGATTTGCCTGTTCTGTTACTTGATTTTCTTCTGGAATTGTGATGACACTTTGACAACAGATGCAAGCTTCAAGAAGTCGTTACCGGGGCAAGTTCGAGCACCGGCCGTGTTCAGGTGCCATAGAGTGACAGCCATTAGCAGTGGGGAAGGTGAGTTAGCTTACCAAGCAACAGTCAACATTGGTGGCCATGTCTTCAAAGGCTTTCTCTATGATCAAGGAATTGATGACAAAAATGGCTTCCCATCTGTTTCACACCTCCATCTGGAAAGTGGTAACCACCACCACAAGGAATAGAGGCATCTCTCTTCTTCTTCTCCTCCAAATTTTCCTCCATCACATCACTTTCCTCCCTGCTGAGGATTACCCCCCCAARACTTGGTCCTGGTCTCGATCTCGGTCTTGCCCACTGGGAAAAGTTTCATATCTCTACTGGAATTCAGTGCTCTGTTCTGTTATCTATAAGTTCTATATAGTTCTTTTCATGGTAGTAATGCAATGAATCTGCACTAAATAGAACAAAAAAAAGTGCAGAGTTGTAGTAGAATCTTCTGTTCTATAGTTTAGCTGGGCTTGGTGTAAAATTTCTCGAGTCCAATCATTGTTGGATACTGATCTTCTGTATATTGCTATTGCTAAGAAGATGTGTAACTTTTCATCTGTCCAAACTTTCATCAAACATGTGCTGAAACAAGCTATGTTGTCCCATCTCTTATTTGATTGTCTAACGGATGGAAATTGTTGATCCTCGAACGATGGAGAATCGATCGAGCATCTTGCTGCTGCATTACCACATTTTGAACTGATTTGGATCTTCTCCCATTGTGGGAGGGCCCAGCCTCCGTGCAGCGGGTACCCGAATAGGTAAAGTCGTCGGAGTTGGACCCCACATGAAGGACATAAGCAGAAACCGAGAGTGACTGAACTGCAGTCCATTGCATCTCATTTGTAGCAAAAGAAGTGAGAATGGAGAAAAACACTCTAAAAACTGAAAGGTGGGAAGAAGAGGCAAAGCAGTCAACAAATACCAAAACTTGAAAACAGATGAAAAGAAGCACTAATGAGTGGGAGCACACAAAAAAGTACCATTTGGCCTTCAACTGTTAATGGGTTTTACTTCCCAAATGAAGTAGGAAGCATTAACAAGAAGGCCATGCATTAAAAGACATGAACAGAATCCATAGGCTCACAAGTTCACAGTCCCACCCTTTTCTTCTTTCTTTCTTTTTGTCTTTTCAGGTAGGTGTTGTTGGCCCCCCATTTCACCAAAGTGTTGGTGATGTTACAAAGTGGTATGGAAAAAAGATGTTTCAGAACCCGTGGCTCGATGATCGATACGAATCATGAACCTAGATGCATAAACTATAGCGGGTGGATATGTAGGATATTCAATATCCTACAAGTTTTACGATTGAGAAGTTTTGTCAATTAACCTGAATATCTATTCTTATGAACAAATAACAACTAAAACTCATTTGATGTATTTCTCAATTTGATCAAAAAGTAGTCCTTCTCGTTAGTATAATTGGTGTTTTTTGAAACCTGCAAACTTGTTCCTAACTCAATGATTAAGACATTAATAATCATTCTYGATATGACAAAAGTCTGCTGGTTAAGATATTAATAATCTAAATTTCGGTCAATCCCTTAAATTATTCTAAAAGAACAAACAAATTTAATGTAAGTTGTCTCCCACCTCTTTAACCTAGCCTCTCTTCCTTTCTTTTCAAAATGAGATCTTTTTTTCTTTTTCCCTCTCTCTCTAACTCTCTAAGTAGAATGAGATGGAGGGGGGGCCTCCACAACTCACTCATTTACTTTTCTTTCATTCTTCTTTTTCATTAACTGTTTGTGGGGATAGAGAAGAACATCTTTCTAAAGTAGGTGAGTGGGAGGAAATAAAAGATGAGCTTTTTTTTTTCTCAAAAGAAAACTAGGTTATGGAAGTGAAAAGAAAATAGGGGTGAAAAATGGAAAAGGAAAAGAAAATGAATGAAAAAAAAAAAAGAATAGATAACAAGTTACAACTTAGTAACACATAGGTCTTCAGCTTTTGGTTAATACATTTACAAATTAGTAACACTTGGGAGTGGGAGAGGTGAGGGTGACAACTCTCATCTATAACTTTTCTAAATCATCACAATTATCTAATAACTCTCTAAACTTGGAATGAAACCAAAAAAAAAAAAATTACAATGCATAATTGCCAGAGCTCTGCATTGTTACCTTAATTTATACACCAAATGGTTTGGTTGCCTTTTCTTTTCTTTTTTTCGTGGCCAAACGCTACGACTCTATCAAAAACCGATAACCGATATCATTTCTCACAACGGACCGACTGTACAAGGATGGCCACTGGCTGCAAGTTTTGATGAATTGAGTTGGTGGGTCAGTATAACAACTTCTTCAAGTGTCTTCTAGAAAAATTCTGAAGACGAAATCTCGAAAGCGTTTCGAGTATTGCTTTGGATCGACAGCAGATATCGATGATGGGTCGTATTGAAACGATTTGTAAGCATGCTCGAGTTTTTTGCTGATGTCATAGTCTTGTAGTATGTCGATTATACCAAAGAAAATGATCACATCATACAACTCCCCAGTGGGCTCTCCTACTAGCTGAGCTTCGGGTTCTCCCCGTCTCACTGTCCGTTCTGCCCGTGCTGGCATGTTGATGCCTAATCTAATGGAAGCCCACCTGAAAAAAGTCCATAACATGAGAAACCAAATGGTCAGACTTCAGAGCAATTACTTCCAGAGATGGTCATATTTGAGTTGATGATGATGATGTTAAACAAGAAAGCTTCTATTTGAATTGATGATAATAAGCCAGTTCACTATTGAAGAAATCAGGCATTATTATTCAGAAATTTCACTGGAGAAGGCGAAAAGCTAACATGGTAAAGCAAAGTAAAACTGATTCATCAGCAAAATATCGAACACAATGGTGGAACGAGAAGGTTCCTGCAAGATTTCAGGAATTGAATAGAATACTACTACTTCATGAGTTCTTTCTACCTGGTAGAGTCACCAGCAAGTTCTTCCTTGTCTGCTCCTGATTGACCATCTGCTTCGTTTTCGGGATCTATACTTCCTGCAAGATATCACATTTTCAAACATCAGATTGGTTGTTGAAACTATGATTTGGAGTAAGAAACTCAACATAGTTAGGAAATAATCAATTGGAGTGCAGAAACCTGAATGATTGCTATCSGGCGTGCCCACTTCCCGAAACGAAGTTTCCTGGAAGTGAAGACCAACTAATAGACTGTAGTCCATGATTCTCTCCTGTTCAAGAAAGTCACAATCCCTGTCTACTTGCCTGCATTGGAACACAATGTACAGGCAATGAGAAGCATAAACTGAAAAACTGAACCTTGGCTCCTTTTTGTGAGGCCACTGTTTTTTTCTTCTTTCATTCTTCTTAATGAAGTTTCATTTCTCCCCCGGGAAAGAAAAATGTGATATGAAACCTCGTGAAATGGCTGTAAAGCTTTTTTCTACAGTACTTCTTTGTGCAACATTGCATCTCTCTAGTAATTTTTTGTGCAATACAAAGTATTTTTATTTTTTCTTTGGTTCCATCGTGCAATATAATATAGCTCCTAGTTAGTATCAGTTTAAATGTAGGTTCACTTGATGTGTTATAGCAGGTCATTGATGAGATAATAAAGGAATGAAACAACTTCTTTGTCATGAACAGAAATGAGTAACAAATAACAGGTAAGGACAATTTTGAAATACTTGCCTACAAAATTCTTGGAACCAAATCTTCCGCAACCGAAATATGTAATTAAGATCAAGATCTTTGAGGGTAGTTGTTGCATCGATTTCTGACTCTGGTTTGTCAGTAGTACGGCCGTGAGAAGAACCTTTCAAGTCGAAACGCCGCTGGATATTATACTCGGAGCAAAACAGATTTCCCATTATGACAAACCGCACCTGTAGATCAAGAAAATCTGTGAATCCAATGATCCTTGGCAACCACAGTAATGCTTTGGTGATCCTTTTATACCTTTTTTTGGGTAGTCCCAGTTAATCTCACACAATGAAGACCGTAAAATTTGGTGACAAGAGTATTTTCGAAGGCTCGAACGTGCTTATAGTAGGCTGGAAGCATCCGCAAGAGAACCTGCATGTATCTTGGCCTGTTAAGATTGGAATATATTCAACTCACATAAATGCATACACGTACTAGAGGAAATCAGGAAAGCCTAGGGTAGATGCAATGGAATCAAGCTTCCATAACCGCATAATGATTGCAAAGAGGTGCTAATAACTCAGCAAAAGTTACATAATTCACAACCACGGGCTTGTTGAGACTACGGAACTAAGCTAATTATGTAAAAACAAATTCAGACAAGAGATCAGAAGTTCTTGAACTCTATAAGATGTTGGTACATTCTTATGTTAGGGAGAGATTTTAATTTTAAGCACAGATGAGTAATCCAAATCTGAGACAGCCGAGAGAGAGAAGAAAGGACTAACTTTCACTTCAGCCTTCTTCATGGTTTTAATCATGTATCTGTCATCATGTGTTAAATAAAAGAAACTCCCACTTTTTCCAGGGGAGGATAGTTCCCGAAGGGCATCATTTCCGCATATAGATAGCATGTAATCAGCTGGATCCACCTTGAACAGTTTCCTAAGAGTCCTGAAATTACAAATTTGATGAGCCATATAAGATTATGCAGTGTTCCAATTCAAAACGACAATGAAATTGAAGAGAATATGAACATCTGCCATCCAGTAAGATAGTATAATTCAGCAATAAAGCTTGTTCTCCTACTATGCATGAATAAATTTTGGTCTCAGAAAGGTTCTTTCATTTAAATCATTTAAAGATGTTCACTTTTAGCTCTGACCTGAAGACAACGGGACAGTAATCCTTCCATCTGAAGTCGTGAGATTGATGAGGTGGTGTATACTTGGATCCTTCCGGTGGAAAYTTTGTCCACACTTTCTCCTTAGGATCGAAAGCCGAATTCTTAAGATCAAGGGATGTTGCTGGAGCAGGCCTCCCAACAGAATGCCTGTGCTATGGAACAAAAAATCAGTAAGTTGAAATGAAGATAATAGTAGAGGCAGCTTCAAACTTCATGTTCCATAGCTAATAACAATGATACAGATCATTGTGCCACATAATATCTCTACAGAGTACATTTCTTGCTATATCATTTGTTTGGAACTTTATAAATACAATAATGGTAATAAGACTACATTTGAATCACAGATAATTTGGGGGGGTAGCCCAAGCCTTCAAGTGTAGCATTAACATATCCTCGTCGTTAAGTTTCATTATAGGAACTGGAACATAGTTACAGGCCCTGAAGGCAAAACTCTAATATCCAGTTGCAGAAAAGAAAAGACAACAGAAAAGGGACAAGGCTAAACTACAGCATAAGTCAAAAGGTAAAAAGAAATTCTTAAATCATTTATACCTGATCCCTAGCTGCAGATTTAGCATGAGCTCATAGTTCTTGTGTCCCTTTGATATTGTAACACCCTGTCTCTTTGCTGGCTGAAATCTCAAATTTGATTGTCTTTTCCCTCTGCTCTCCATACCTTGGGGCGGAGGAGTCCCACCCCCTTCTGTCCCATTTCTGTAACTCAGGTCGCTTGAACTATCATGGGATGATTCAAAACTAGAATTGCAGACTTTGCCATCAACTGATGTTCTTCTCAATCTCCTATTCCCATCATACCCTTTCTTGGAATTTGTTTGCTTCTGTGGCGAATCGAGGTCGAGTCCGGACCAACTTATCATCTTCTGTGAAGGGTAGATCAAAATCCTTTCCGCTGTACTAAGTATGCACTCATTAAAATACTCTGAATAGACCACCTGAGGATCCAAGACCACTTCACACTCAGAAGACCCAGATGGATAAAAAGTCCCACTCTGCTCTACAGGATCCTTACTCCAAACACCAACAAAACAACTCCCATCTGCCCACCTGAATGTCCCATTCCCTTTAGGCAATCCATCTTCCCAACACCCATCATACCGATTCCCATTGCTCCAAATCATAGTCCCATTGCCATTGATCTTCCCATTCTTCCACTGCCCTATATAGTGATTCTCATTCTTCCATTGATACCTCCCCTGCCCATCCTGAAAACCTCTTCGCCATTCCCCCTCATAATAATCTCCATTGGCGTAGTTTTGGGTGCCTTGGCCATGCTTCAAATTCATCACCCAACACCCTCTGTAGGTGTCCCCTGCGGAACCGGTGTAAGTGCCCTTCCCGTCCATATACCCGCTCTTGAAATCGCCCTCGTAGGTGGCGCCGGAGGGCCAGCTGAATTTGCCCTTCCCTAACGTCTTCCCCTTGTACCATTCCCCCACGTACATACAGCCGTCGGTCCACAGGTACTTGCCATGCCCATGGGGCATATTGTCCATCCATTGTCCGGTGTAGAAATCGCCATTGGGTATCGCCTTCTCCGCGTGGTGGAGCTCGCCGGGGCCCGGCTCGTCGTCGGCTGGAGCAACGGACATTGCTGCAAAAATGCTATTCGCCCTCTTCTTCGCTGAGCTTTGAGTTTTTCTCACGGTTGCTTCCCAAGCCTTCACGAATCCAGCGTATTCTTTGTACATTATCACTCTGAAACTCCTCAATCCCTCTTCCCCTCTCTCACAATCTCCACGAATTTTTCTCCCCCTCTCTCTCTATGTCTTTTCTTCCCTCCCTTCCTCACTTTCCTCTCCCATTTTCGCCTCAATTCACGAAACCCACTTCAAAAAAACACCGATCGATTTCCTTGCCTCTGTATCAACACCAATGCAGATTCTTCAAAAGCAGAGGTGGGAAAATGGGACAACGAAATCCCGTGTTTCTGTAACAGAAACTCGGAAACCAGGGCAATGGAGGGAATCAGACGGAGAGGAAACACATAAATTCCCCCTCTGCTTCTTCGTGAGAAGAGAAACCCAAAAAAAAAAAAAAGAAAGAAAAAATTCTATGATCGTTCTAGTTTTGAGTTTCAATCATGGTTCTGTGAAATGGGCACCCTTCAGATTTTGGAAAAAAGGGGAAAAAAATTAAAATTAAAAAATAAAATAAAAGAAAAATAAAGAAGGAAGGAAGCTGTTTGATTGATGAGGAAAGCAAAAGGTTGTTGGTACCAATGACTGACCTTTTTTTCTTTGTTTCTGTAATTTTTTTTTTTGTTTACTTACTATATTATTTTTAATTTTTAATTTTTTTAATTTTTCATTTTAGGAATTGTTTGAACCAAGAAATTCAACCCCTATTTCATTTCTCTCCCGCATTTGGTTCCTAAAACAACTAAAAAACCAGACATTTGGAGGGACGAGAAAGATGTTGAAGATTTTATGTTTTTCTGTTTTTTTCTCCCCATTTTTGTCTTTCCCCCTCTTCTTTAGATTTCTCTTTTACCAAATTTGTTTAATTTCTTTTCCATTTTATGCCCTCCCTTTTTTCTTCAAATTTCAATCACACCCGAGTTGAGTAAATTTGTAACCGTTGAATCGGTTTGGCCCGGCTGATGTTTAATCAACTTACTAGATGGATGTTCCCCACAGTCCTATCACATACTAACAACATTACAATGTAGTTAAAATTTGCTATTTTTGCATCAGGTAAAATCGGTCGAAACTAATCTAAAATCACTCATCCATCCATTTAGATGAGCTTATTTTTCAGTTAAACTTAATTCCGAAAATTATTGCATACTCCTTTGAAAACCCATCAACTTATTTTAAAACTACCTCATCAAAAAAGAAAAAAGAAAATTATGAGGGGAGGAAATAAATCAAAAAATATATATATGTTGATTAAGATTTGGTGAACAATGGAATTTGAAAGTGGATTAAATTAATTAATTAAATCAGACGTGGAGGCTACTTTGTTAATCCAAAACGAGGTCAAAGCCCAAAAGGCCCACTCCAATCCCACAAAAAGAGGTGGGTCCCACAATGGAGTTTTAGGGTTTAGTGGCTTTAAAAGGTGACACTTGTCCTATTATCAAATCATCATCATGAATGCATGATGATGGATCATACATCAAAAAARGTGCATATTTTTTCCCAATCTCTCCAATCTATCTTGGATAATCCTTGGGCATTTTGGTAATTGGMCTTCTAATTATGTTCAATATGTTTATTAATAGTATCACTTTTAATAGGYGTGGGGATTTTATTTTCCTTTTCAATGCAATCACATGGGAAAGTTTTTAATAGCTRTAGCGGAATTTTCATGTTTCAGTTCACAGGAGTTGTAATCGTGGTCCCTAAAACTGTATATTGCGTTCAAATAAATTTATATTCTTTTTTTTTGGAGAGCCACAGATCGTCCTCTCTCAAATTATGCTTCTCCACGTATGGGATAGATTATAACCATCTTAATTTTTAGAAAGTTTCCTCCTTTGTAGTATTGGCCTCATTATTTGAGACTTGTCGGTTTCTTAAGTAGTCTCGGACTATTCATTCTTTTATATATTGTTTTAACAAAAAAATTTATTAAAGACATATTTTTTATCTATTTACTTAATCAAGAGATACTACCTACTTCAACTTCACCCATTTATGTTTTTCTTTTTTCTTCCTTTTTTGAGTTCAACACTAAAAAATTTAAGTTATTGCTAAATGATTACTAGAAATTTAATTAAATGGTTGGTTTKGTTTGGTTSGAAAGCAAATAGACTATAATAAAGGTCATTTTAAATTTTAGGTACCCACSCGGACTAAAAAGTTTTTAAATTTGACCATCCTCTATTTTTCAGAAATGAAGGTGGAATGAGACATATATATAGGGATGTTTACCGGTGGAGACGAAGAAGGTTTTCTGGTCCCCATCCCTGCCCCTCGTTTAACTCCTTATCCCTGCAAAATTCAACACAAAATTCGCGRGAATTGGGACAGGGATTCCTCGCAAGAAATTCGTGGAGATTGGGTTCCATGGAAAGTTTTCTCTCATTTCTTTTATTTTTTAAATTATTTTTCAATAAATAATTTTTCTCTAAATTTTGTTTTATATAATTGCTTAATTTGTAAAGATAAAACTTTATATTTAAGATCTAATTCTCCCCCATATAAATATTGGATGGGTGGTAGGGAAGAATACATGATTTTTTTATATATGTTAAAAAAAAATGATGGAGTGCTAGGAATGTATTCCGTCCCCATACCCATTTAGGTGGCAGAGAAAAAAATTTTCCCATCTCCATCCCATTTAGACACGTCACATGTAAAATGGACGTCCTATAAATATAATTGACAATAATCAAGAGAGGTATCAAATACGTAATTCTTCTTTAAAGATCATTTCGCTGAATCTTTTTAATTTTTMTGCTTATTTTGTGATTTAATCTATTGCAAATAAAAATGCATAAATTAGGAGGAGCTCCCAAAATTTTGTTTGAAAAAGTTACATATTTAATTACTTTGGAATTGGAAAATGAAAGGGTATAAGTTTGTTCCATCAATGTTGGAATGTTCAACAACATTCTACTAATGATAATTATATGTCACATCATAATGATTCAAGATTGATCTCTAACATTTTGAGTTCTTTACAAATGAGTAATTCCACAATTAAAAAAAATGGAAATTGTGGGAAGATTATAATCCCTCACCTTAATTTCTTTAATTAATTTAATCTTGAGATGCTAAATAGATTTTCTTATGGGTTTTTAGAGTTAATCAATAAATTATCTATAATAGCTACATACAGTTAACGTATTGACGCTTTTTTCCTGGTAGACGATTAAGTTATTTCATAACTTTTACGTAATTATTTTCTTTCATACTTCCATTGATTGTCTTTTTAAAGTAAATTCCATTTAAATATATTATTACAAATCTCTTTAGATTTCATATACTTTGGAACTAAACTAGTATAATGTTGCTTAAGCTAATGATTGGGCCTTTTCTTGTAAAGGGTCAAAAACACTCCAACATTATGACCTTTTGAGTGTTTTAAAAGGAGATATTTTAAAAGATAATAAATAATTGGAGAAGAGAAAAAGAGAAGTATTTTTTTATAGCAAAATTTTGACAATTTTTTAATAAAAAAAAATGTGATGCCCCCTCCATTCATAAAGGTGTTTGGACATACCATTATTCAACTTTGGCTATCAAACAAAACATTTTCATTACCTATATGACTTATCCTATTGGAATCTTCACCATTTTTTTTTCTTCATCATGTCTTAATCTTCATACTTAATTAAGCTCTCTCTCTTTTTGTCTCTCATCACTCCTCTAAATATATTTTAAAATATTTCTAGGGTTTAGTCTTTCCCATCTTAATTATGATACTCGCTAGTTTGGTATACGATACAGTGTGTTTATGTTGAATTTCAAACTATCTTGAGAACGGGTACGAATTGAATATAGTTGAACTATTCGGAACGAACTATGTAATAAGGAATGACTTGTACAAAGAAAAAAGTATTTCACTAAAGTGAATGAGAGGCTGATTTAAGCTCTCAAGACTAGGAATTCATATCGCATATGAGTGATGTTCCTAGTGTGAGAGGTAGTGGGTCCCATGTTGCCGTTCCAAATTTTGTTACGTGGTTACGAACGGTTGGACACATTTTACCTTGATGTATGGCTTTCTCTTTACCAACCAAGGTTTGGCCGAACTGTCGAATCATYGTTGATCGAGCTATATATATAGGTTGATCACTGAATATTTTCGAGATAATGGGGAAAAGAGCACTGACATACCGATCTTTCATAATTTAATCTCCAAACACAATGTAATCAATTCGTGAGGTATTTTATACAGTATTAAGGTTGTATTTTCTCTTAATATTAATGAACGAGAACCGAAATCTTTTTTAATTATTACATCATACTGAACAAAATGCCAAAAGTTTAGATTTATTTATATAGTAATTGATGTGATCCACTGAAGCGAGTATAGTTCAACAGTAATTGACATATACCTTCAACCATGAGATTGAAAGTTCGATCTCTCTCCCCACATGTTCTACTAAAAAAAATGGATGTGATCCACTATAACACACAACCATCACATGTTTGCTTGAACCAACATTTAGTTCAAAACTTTGAATGATAATAATAGTTGGTAGTGACAAGTCCTTAGTTTAATTAGTGATAATTTGAGCCAAACTTCCTCACTAKGATATAATGTGCAATAATTAAGACTACTCATATATAGCTTCTTCTAAATTTGGTTTGGTTTGACATGTCATTTTCTCATCCTTCAAAGTCCTCTCCACATTATGCTTGATTTGATTAAACACAACTATATATACAATCACAAGTCCAATTCTAYATACAACTTTTATTTGAATAAGAACCCATCTTTTATCATCCCCACTCCCTTGTCATATTAAACTCTTGTTTCACYCCAATTACGATTCAGGCGATATACATCTCTGCACACTTGATTAATCAAAACCACCTCTACAAACGGAATTTAGCTCAACAGTAATTGGTATTTRTCTAAAGTCATGAGTTCGAACGTCTCCATCCCCACTTATTGTATTAAAGAAAAAACTTCTACAAACACAATAACCTATAGTCACTAGAAAAACATTGAACAAWTTTTATATTCTCTAAGACACTGAATTTCTACCTCCCACGTACCTGAAGACGCGTGCACRTGTAAATCTATGATAACTAAATTTCAATCGAAAAGAGAGACCCACGAAACAAAACGGCTACACCAACCATACCCATTTAAGACCAAATAACATCAACCCACATGCACCCATTAAAGAAAGTGGCTAGAGAGAAAAGGAGAAGCCTTGGCACTTCCAACACCATTCAAATAACACAAACACACGAAAAAAAAGACATTTTTTTTCATGGGTCAAATACAGCAAACGTGTAAAACCAAAGACCATTTGATTGAAAAAGGGAGAAATATAATCTTTGATGTGGGGAAAGGTTGTATTAATGGCAAAATTTGTAGGGTATGGCATTGGGTTCTTGGCCATTTGAAAATAGGGTTGAGAGAGAGAGAGGTGGAGGGGACAATGATGAGTGTAATGTCAACATAAATGGAGGCAAAGTGGTGATGATATGGAAAAGACAAAGGCCAGCATTGGACCAAAAATGAAGGTTTCATGTGTACAATGTTATGCTCATGGGGTTGCTCTGCTCTGGAGCTGTCCCCTTGTCAGATTAAGAATAGTCTTTTTGTCTCTTAACTTTTTTCTCTTTGCCCATTTTTCCAATGCACTCAATTCTATACCTATAACAAACATTCCACTTYCGTGCTATSTTTCAATTTCAGGTATTGAATTTTCGTCGATATTTTCATAGTATTGTAAAAAAAATCAATAAAATATAGACATGATATTAATCTGAACTGGATTTGGATATAACATCGAATAAAGGTTTTTCTTTTGTCTCTAAATTGCATTACGAGATTTGTATTGAATTTGGAAATAAAGAGGGTAGAAGATTAGTGTTAACTCTATAATGAAGAAATTTGATGATTGTAGGTTGAAAATTTTGTAATCTCACTTACTTTTCTCGAGTCAGTACATGTTTGTTTGGCAGAATAACAAAGTCTGTGGGACATTCCGTGTTAGGTTTTGTTGAGTTGTAAACAGAGTCTTTATTGTTTTAGGATGAAGATTAAAGGAGGAGTACAAGTGAGTCAAAGATATTAATAATGACATTGAGGTTTTGTTGTTTAACGTCTATTCAAGCCTAAACAAATCCACGTGATTAGATTTCATAGATTAAGTTTGTGCTATGAAACTCTAGTCCTAAAAAGTGACTTGATCAAAATATATTTTCGTGAATAGAAAGCGAGACTTGATCTATGATAAAAAAAAAAAAAAAAAAGTAAAGAACATTAAGTGTGATTAATTTTATTCTAGACCTTTACGTACCGATCTCTAGTTTATCGTTGGAACTTGAGTTTCGAAAGTGAATTAATTTTACTATTTTGATTTGTGAATTAAGAAATATAAGCTCCAAAATCCATGGAGTATTATTGTCAAAGCCTATAATAAGAAAGAAAAAATGGCTCCTAAATTAATGGTGTATTGATTGTTGATAAATTTAGAATTGAGAGAAACATTTTGACAAACACATGGTCGGCGTGGTGAATGTGCGCGCACGCCACCACAACTTCGGAGGCGGTTCCGTCGTCATCGACGGTTGTTTTTTTCTTTTCTTTTTTTTCTGTTTTTTTTAATGCATCTTAATGTTTTAATTTATACCTTTTTGTTAATAATATTTTACAATATGGTTTATTTTATTTTATTATTATTTTGAAAAAATCTCAAGGTCCAACTCTTCCTTATATTTGATATTTATTGATGCACGAAGTTGTGGGGTTCTTTAAAATTTGTGATTACAAATTATTTTTTAGTTTTCATTGTTAAATTTTAAGTTTAGTTTTTGAATTCTCAATAAAGAGTAGTGTTCTTTCTTATTTTTCGTTCTTTTTTTTAGTACAACAAATGTGAGAATGATGAGATTTAACCTCTTAGAGCAGTACGTATTAACTGCTTATTTACRTTCCTAATTTTTTAAAAACATAAGTGTTTGATAKTTATTACTGTAATTTGAGGAAAAGRAATTAAGTTTTTTATTTCGGAGTTTTTACCACCATAAATAAAAGTATTATTTATTATTATTGACTTATAAGATGTGTAATGAATATTAAAAAAATAAATATAACATAAAATTAAATATTTAATTTTAAAATTTATTTTATATAAAAATTTACTTCTTTTCATTTAAAATTTTAGTGAATAAGAAATAGTAATTGGGCCGTTGCAAATATGTCAAAAATATTTAGTAAAATTAGTAAAATAATGAGTTTTAATAAAATAATTCAAAAAGCAACGGGCAACACTTGTATTTATATTATAGGGCCACGTGAAGGTAAGAAGCACAGTGTTCCTCGGARCAATGTTTTTTTCTTTTTCCTTTTGATCACAAAACAAAACTAAAGCAACATACCATTTACGACCCTAGTCAAATTGGAGAAGGCTCCTCGTTGTAAAACTCTTGAATCTCACTCAAGACCTCTTTCAAATCCACAGGCCTTCAGCTTCTTCATCGCCAAAGTTTTGATGCAGTTCATGGATCGTCATCCACTCGTCAATCTTTCACACCAGCAAAAGGAACAAATTAGAATCTAATACACCCAAAAACTTTTAAAAGCACCAATGAGTCCATTTACATTTGCATCATTGGAAATGCCACCACTGTATCATTGCCTGTTTGGTACCGTTCTCRTTTCCTGTTTTTCATGGAAGAGGACATTTACATTTGCATCATTGCATGCTTGTGTGTGTCCCCTCCACAGCTCACAAAATTTGGTTCCATTAAAGCAAAAGAATGAAAGATTGTGCAGATTAGATATTGGGTTGGATATATATGGAAGGAAAGGCCACCACTTTCAGTGTGGTCTGTTTCAAACATTTAAGCATTGAAATGTGTAACAGAGCCTCACCCGGCCTACCGCTGAGACGCACAGGTTTAGGCGGCTGCTGCACCCACGCCACTACTCCCTTCGTTTTCTACTCTTTTTCATCAAACACCTTCCCCATCCTTTTCATTTTTTACTTTGTTTCCTTTCCTTAAAAAGTTACAAGTTTGAATTCTAAGCTGTGTCGGTTGATAATGTACGACTTTGGACGAGGTGCATGCAGACATTAGAACCTTACACCGATGTGGTGTAATGCCTAATCACGTATATTCCAAAATTTAAGTTAGTATACTGAGTTCGAACGAGTGTGTCGATGTCAAATTGGGTTTTCGTTGAGTCAGTTAAAAGTGAGTTTGCATTGACTCGTCTCGTCCTTAGCTTGTCTGAAATGAGGTTTGAACACGTGTTTTCYACCATGAGGGTCACATGACAAGTTCTGATTCTACCCACAATAGGATTTATTTTTAGYATCGTGCTTTTGAAATAATTTCTAAATGAGATTTTTGTCTTCTCTGGTTCTTGTATTTTAACAAGTTTCTAATAGAGCTGCATATGATCATTCATATTTAATAGGATGATCTTCTTCTTTTTTTTTTTTGAAGGATAGGGTTCTCGTTGTTGAATACTCTTTTGTTTAAATTTGTGCCATCAAAATCCTAAACATGTTTGAAAATCAACTTGACGTGTAATTCCTTAAATAATTATGAAGTCGTTCATATATGTTAAATTAATTAAGTTAGATGTTAAATGGAAAGTAGGAGATTTATTAGAACTTTTTAAATACATGGATCAAATAAATACAAAGTTTAAAGACTTATTAAAAACACTTAAAAGTATAGAGAGATTAAAATGACATAATTTTGAAAGTTTAAGAACCAAATTTGTAATTTAACCTATCATTTAACCATAAGAATTCAAATTGAAAATTTTAAAATAACACAAATTCAAACCGGTAATAAATTTGAAAGTTTTTGTCCATGACATCCATGACTCGGTCCTCTTCATTATTAGTAGTTACTTGCATCTAATTTGTTTCAAAAATTTTATATTACAATTGAAATTTATATTTTATATAATCTTGAATGTTTCTTTGAAGGTTCAAAATTTCTTATTTACGCCCTCGAAATTTGTCAAAAGAATGGCAAATTTGAAAAGTTTCTGATTTCATTCGGGCCCATTAGAAGCATTGGACTTTACTCTCTATTATGGTCCAGCCCACCACATGGCCCAACATAACTATACTGATGGGCCTACTAATTTATATCCATTTACTAGCCCTTCTAAATATTGGAATTAAGGACAGATAGCTTATTAGTTATTGATTTATATTGATGAATTTAAAAATTAATTCTTGATTTATCACTTTTACCATAAAGCTATTGTAACGAGTTAGTTAAATTAGCCGAGAATTTTTTTTTTTTTTTTACAGCTAAGATTCAACCAATTCTTCGAAAGGATTAAAGTTAATTAAGAGGGAATAAATTCAAATCTCACGATAGTCACTTACGTTAGGAATTAGTATATTATAGTAGTATTCTTCTATTATTATTTTTTTTTTGGTTCCTTTCTATTATTATTTGCAGTAAAAAAAAAATTAAAGTTTTGATCAATAAAGAGTTGTATTTGAATCCAATTCCATCTTTCTAATCATAAAACCAATGCACTTACATAAAAAATATCATAATATAAATATAAATTATATTTATTGCGACATAAATTGGGAGTATTATTTTATAACACGTGTATGGCTAAATAGCTTAATATATAACTAAATAGAAATTAAACACAACTTCATTGCCACGTAAAAAAAGGTGTCGAATAGTAGCGTCGTACTAGGTTTAACAAAATTACTTAAGGACTAAATTTAAGCAAAGTTCAAAATAGTTAAATTATAGATAACGAAATCTTCACACTAGAGACGAGACGAGACAAGAAAAAACAAGTAGCGTCGATAACAAAATTGAAGCAAAAGAAAATTGGGGTTTTTAATTGGATTGGAGGTGCAGAGAGAGGTTTTTCAAGGAAAGAAGAAGCTGCTTCAACCTGTCGTTGGTTTCTTGATCAATCAAGTCGCCATTATCATCAAACTTGGAAGGTGGCTGAAATGCATTCACATGAAGCTCAGGCTTGTTGACGAAGTGAAGGTCCAAAAACACTCCCACTTGCCGGAGATGGAACTGCGCCATCGCTCCCCCGAAGCCCCCGCCGGCGCTCATTATAGCCGCTGCCTTCCCGGCGAACACGTTCGGTGGCCTTGACGCCCAATCAATCGCATTCTTCAAAGGACCTACACAATACCGAGCTAGTGTGAGAATTCGAAACTCTGAAGAATATACACTTCCATGCTCAACAAACGTGACTTTTAATTTATGTGCTCACTTTCAATATATTAATTAATTAATACACATATTTGAAACTATGTTGTTTATTTGTTTCTCTTTTTAAAGGGCGTATCTACGTTGAGATGAGAAGAGAAGAGACTTAATCATGGTTTATAATAGACATGAACTATTACTCTCCCCATTAATATTAATATGGTATCAGAGTCCAAAACCTCAAACGAACATCCCATCAAAAAAAATGGGATCCGACCAAGATCGATGAGCCACAAGGATCCCACAGAAACCCCAAAATATTAATAGAATGAAAATAGTAACATTTTGAAACTTCAAGAATTAAAATAGATATTTTGAAAAATCTAACTAAAATAAAATAAATCCATTACATTTATCAAATAACGGATAGATATCTTGACCACTAACTATGCGATATATAACATGGACTAAATTTAAACTCCTGTCCTCTTTATTTATATAAAAAGTCATAAAACAAAGACAAAGTTCACATCCGATCTTTAATTAGTGGGTGGGACTAATTTTAATTATTATTTATTCCTCAGCAAATCTTTACATATTTGCTCGTCAATTTAAAATTGAGTAAAGTTGAGAACAAAATCCAACTAGAAAAATAAAAGAATCTCATTACATTTTATTTAAACTATTCTACCATTTGGAATACTAAAATAATATTCTGATTTCTTATACATATATGTTTAGAAGAACAGTCAAAATATTTAAATTGTAATCTATCAAAAAAAAGATTGAAAAAAGAAAAAAAAGATTTACAAATTTAAAAATCAAGCTTCCTTACACAAGAAGAAAAAGTCTGTCCATGGTCGCCATCAATGGAGTTCATCAACAAAAGAAAAAAAAACGAAGAGAAATAGAGAGAGAGAGAGAGAGAGAGAGAGAGAGAGAGAGAGAGAGAGAAACCGGCGATGGAGTAATTGTATTCCGGAGAAGCGAAGAGAAGACAATCGGCTTGAAGGATCTGGTGGCGGAAAGATTCGACGACGGCCGGAAAACCCGCCGGAGTTTCGAGATCCGTATTGAGCATCGGCAAGGGCTCCACCTCCAGATACTCAATCTCGATTCCTTCAATCGAATCCTTGCAAATCTCGATCGCTAACGCAGACAAATCGCAACAACAACAACTCAAATCTGAAATCCCCCTCCCAATTTCAACAATCTTGTAAAGAAATAGAGGAAAAAAAGAATAAAAAAAAGTACCGGCGCGAATAAGGCCGCGGTTGAAGGAGGCCTTACGGAGAGAGCCGCAGAGAGCCGCCACTTTAACCACCGGTTTCGTGATCGGAATCGTCGCCATTGTTCTCCAAATCACCGCTCTGCTCTGCAACTGAAATTGCAACTGATCTCTGTACTCTCTGCACCCATTCATATTCTATTTATTTATACTACTTAAATATTGATTAATTAATTAGTCAAATTAAATTATTGAATTGCAATTTTAAATTTCGTTAAATGCCATTAATTAGGTATTTAATCATTCGAGTTTATGAATAAAATACGTTTGCTTTTTTTTTTCCCTCCAATTCAAGAGGGGATGGGATAGTTTATATTAATGATTTGGATTTTTAAATGATACCGTTTATGTAAACATACTTGGCTATCTATGTTTTTGCATTTCTCTCTTGCTCGTCATGGTCTGTTATTTTGGTGGGTTCATATTAATATTCATGGGTTCCATCTCAAAACCAATTGGCGATTTGACGATGAGATGTGTAGTCTATGTCTATTATAAATCATTGTTAGGTCTCTTCTCTTTTCAACGTCGTCCAATCGTAGCTCAATGAAATAAGGCACACCAGTTACATTTGTTTAAAAATGAAGGTTCAATTGTCAACCCGCTCAACTAATTAAGATACCGATCTCCTATAAAAAAAGTAAGTTCGAACTCCACCTCCACATGATATTATTGTATTATAAAAAAATAAAAAATTGAAAGTTCAATCTCCCACCCCTGTTTGTAGAAAATACATATTTTTATGATTAGGACTTACCTGATTATGAAAATCCATTTCTATCTAAATAGTTGTTTTTTTTCCCATTAATCATCGAGCCAATAATTAAAATTCGTTTTGAATTCTTGATACTCTCGCGGCTTTATGTTGTATGATCGTTGAATAATTTGTTAATGTTTAGCATAGAAATTAAAATGACTTTTTAGGCCAAATTCATAGAATAAAACACTATTAAAAAGAAAAGGCTGAGCAGCCGCCATATTTAATTGGAAAAAAAAACAAATGGCTTAGGTAAGGGATGAGGTGGGGGAATGAATTTCTTAATTATTCGAGGCAATCACAATCACCTTTGAATCATATTCTTCTTACAATATTACTTTCTTGTTTAACTTATATGGAATAAAGATTTTTGTTACATTAAAAAAAATCAATAAAAATCCTTATTATTAGTAATCCATAAAATATATAAATAAAAATACCACCAGTCACTAAAGACCCCCGAAGGATAACAGACTAATCTAGGTAATATTTAATTGGTTAAAGCACACGTCATCGATCAAAAGATTGGAATTTCAAACATGTCTAACCAGAAAAAAAAATCCCATGAAGATTGGATTTTCATAAATATGAAAATCTATGATGAGGTATTGTGAAGATCTTCTATAGTTCAAAAAATAACATATAGAAAAATAAATTTGAAAATCGGACTACAAGGGTTGGATTTTCAACGTTTTTATTATAATTCACATGTTGTATGATGTTTTATTTTTGTACTTCAAATTGTTGGATGCCAATCGAGAAAATATATTTTCTCGCATATGAGAACAAGTGGCCTATGAACTAGTTGCTTTAGACACCATGGTGTCGACCCTACTATAATATGAAGGGGTGAATTTTAAAAATAAAAAGAAAAAAGAAAAAACCAAATTTTATACTTAAATATAAAGCCTATTTAATCCAATTATTAACAAAATAAAAAAAGAAATAATGGTTTTTGAGAATAAATAACGCTCAGCATTCTCCCTATTTCTTCCCGCCAAATAAAAGAAAATAAAAGTTCGAATATAAATTTTTGGTCAATATCAGATGCTCCTAAGAGAGGTATAAACGAAGAGGGTAAAATTTGAAAATTCAAATTGTTTTGGRGTTAAATATGAAAATAAATAAATAAGCCAATTACTAATTAGGATGAGCCCAACAACGCTGAAATAATTGGGCCTTGAAGATAGGTTATTGGGCCGTATTAAATAACTTACACAGAAAGCCCAAATTAAAATGTGCGAACTAAGATATTTAACTTTTAAAATAGTAAAGACAAAATTGAAAATGATAAATAGTACATACTTCAATAATGAAAAGGACATTTTATGTCCAAAAAAGAAAAAAAATGAAAAGGATACATTGAGCATTTATTTATTTTAACATTAATTTTGTTTACAGATTCATCTTTTATGTGCAAAATCAATTTAATTGATCACATTAGTATAATTATGACTTTAAATTTTAAAATAGAAAAATAAATATTTTTACTCCTGTACTTTTAAATTTTTAACTTTAAATCTTCGGTTCAATTAATATATCCTTGGAACCAAAATACAACATTGTCTCATTCAACTAACTAATAGACACACAAAAATTCAACCTACAAAATATTTAAAATGAAGTCACAAAAAATGCAATGACTCTAAACATGAACCGAGTTGCAAAATCAAAGCAGGTAAAAAAGTGTCTCGTATCAGTAAGAAAATGTTCAAACTTTACTAAAAAAAGTTCCAATGAATTTGGAAAAACAAATATCTATGAAAGTACCGTTTGTCTTGAAATTACCAAGTAAGAAGTATGCATATTTTACTTTAAAAAAATTATATATTTTGATGAAGTTTGCATATATATACATCTGGCTTTTCTAGTATTATTATTTTACTATCAGCGGTATTGTTTTTTCTCACTCATTTATGTTATTATAAGTTAAATTAAATTGAAAATTAACAAAAATTAATATATAAAGTTTTACCACTTATTTTAATTTAGTAAAATTAAAAATTGAAAGATAAAATAAATTTTATTTACTGAATATTAAAAAATGAATTTTTACCCAGAGAATAATTATGAAATCAACCTCACCACGAGGGGGAAAAAATAAAATAAAAAAATAAAAAGAAACCTCTCGAAGATTGTCGGCAGAGTAAAAAGAAAGGGAAAGGCGAAAAAAGCTCTCTCGTGAAGCAAAAGCGACCACAACGGAAAAAGCCTGCAAAAAGCTGCCACAAACTTTTTTTTTTCTTTTATTTATTTTTACTTCAATGGATTTCAAGAATTTAATCAATGATTTTAGAATAATAATAATAATAAATAACTTATATTGCTATGAATTTTAATAAATTTACGGAATCGTTTTTGTTTGGAGTAAAAATACCTTTGGACACGTGGAGGACAATCATTGGAGTTCAAGGAGTGAAATAACCAGGTCCACCTGGAACCCGTCGATGTGGCTGGGTTCGCCCATTGAAAAAGACTAAGTGTAACATGCCGAGGTTCGACCTGATTGGGGTTCGATCTGCTCTGAACCCGACAGGTTCGACATGAGAAAAAACATATAATCGCCTGTCGTAAGTACTGTCGGATCTACACCTATAAATAGAGGACCTCATTTCACGCTCAGGTATCGAATCTCACCTCGAGCTAAATATTGAGTCCGACCTATACTAACTTGAGCGTCGGAGTGTTTGCCTTCCTGTGCAGGTTCGCTCTTGAGTTTAGGTCGAGTCGGGACTGGGTTCGAGCTTGGTTCGTTAAATAGTGTGGTGCAATTCTTTGCGCAAACATTTGGCGCTGTTTGTGGGAAGGACGGTCTAAGTCATCCCGATCTAAAAAACGTGGACAAAGATGGTTCAACCAGAAAACAGTTTTCCCTTTAAAATAGTTTCTTTAAAGCTTTAAATATAATTTTTGAGTCAAATTTAGAGGTGATTGCCAATATAGCCTTTCCTCTGCTGCCCAGCCCGCGTACCGCGACGGCGTCGTTTCTTCTTGTCGATCGGCAGCAGCGTTTCAGATCAATCAGGGGTGACGACAATCTACAATGACAATAACGATATGCAGCAACAACAAATAGAACAGTACGTAACCGAATTTAATAGATCGTTCGAATTGCGATCAAAGTCTTACATTAGTTAGATAAGGAGAAAATCATTGATATATAAATATGAGACAATATCTCTACTAGTATGAGTCATTTTGAGTGAAACCAATTAAAACGACTTAAGCATATTTGAGTACGTGTTATCCTTGACATATATATTAAATTACGTTTGAATGGAATTTTAATATGATATATTAGAAATTTGTTCCTAGGATTCTGAGTTTAGTTTTAATAATTTTAATTTGGTTCTAGCTAAACTTAATCTAGCTCAAATATTTAAGGTATATATAAAGTTAATCCACACTCTACTCTAGGTTGTTGTACTTATTGTTTT